ATGAAAAGAAGTGGGAGACAAATGAAAGCAAGTGGGAGACAAGCCAGCCGGGAACCCGACCACAAGCAACAGCCTGGGAGACAAATGAAAAGAAATGGGAGACAAATGAAAAGAACTGGGAGACAAATGAAAGCAAGTTGGAGACAAGCCAGCCGGGAACCCGACCAGACCATCCAGCACCAAGGCGACCATTCTGTAAAGCATTGAGAACCCCTAACAGTAAACTGTTTGGGGAATAATTTATTAAATCATATTAGATCAATGTTATGGACCCCCCGTTCCGGGGGTTCAGAGATAGTGCGCTATTTGCTCGGCTACCCTGAGGCGTACTACAGTCATACTTTTCGTGCCTTTGCTGCCGCTGAAGTGTGTTGCATGTAGCATGTCCGACAATGCTTGCAATGGCACATGTGGGGATGCTACGTCGTACGTTGTGTCCGACTCTCCTTTCTCAACCGACTACGTTCATGGATAGCTCATTCAACGCCACCCCACACAAGAAAGCTCTCCATGTAGATACCCTTGCGATCCCTTGCGCACATACGGCATGCATCACACGCCTCATCGTCCGTGCGCTTACAACCACTGCATCGGGGCACGTTCAACGAAGGATTCTTCGATACCTCCTCACACATAAGGGCCCCTACTACATCCCTGCATCACTTGCGTCTACATGTTTACACGTGTTGATCATGAATCTAGCCTCAGCAAAATAGCTGGAGTCACTCTTGCTTTAGCAAGGAATTGAGAGGTGGACAGTAGCCTCAAAGACCTCAAAGTTTTGGGCCCCCGCACTTGGGGGGTTCAACTCCCACTGCCTTCTCTGGCTTTGGAGAGGCCTGGCCATACCATGAGTCCACATTGCATGGTACCTGGTAGCAGCGATGCTGGCCTTGATCTCACTCATCGCTTTAAATTTGGTTTCCCCTCATCATTCCTGGCTAAGAGCTCATGCCTCTCAACCTCACGGCCCACAATCATCTTAAATACGCTGATGTGAGACAACGTGCAAATGTGAACCCACATGATCTCATTATGATGGCCCTTGTGCCATCATACTGAGTAGCAAATCCCTCATCATGGCCTTCCTCATGAACATGGGACAAGGCATGACAAGGCTCACCGCCCCACCTCATCAAAACCCAGCCCCTCAACCAGCGGCTGAAAAATGCCTCCACGTATCTTGCACTTGGCCACCTCCCATGTTACTGGCTGAGTGTGACAGGTCTCATGCTCTCCCATCCAGCCGATCAACCTTCTCATCAAGCTGCCTCACGAACACTTGCCCATAGTGTGCCATCACCATGCCGTGCCTCCAACACCATTCATCATGAGCAATGCCAACATTGCAATCTGGCTAATGATCCTGCTTCCATGAACAGCAAAGCCCAACTAAGTCTCATGGTTTTCAATCCTGATGGCCATCCACCCAAGCTCCCATGAACCCAACTTCCCCTCACAACCAGAAGATCCTCATGCTCATTTTCCAATAAAGCAGCTGCATCAAAGATCTCATCAAGGAATACTGTATCACCCCAAGCTCCTTGTTTGGAGGCTGCCACCCTGCTTAGTATCCCACTGCTCTTGCGGAGCAAACAAATGCGCCCAGCAGTGGCTAGCTTTCGTTCCCCCCCCGGGCCTCAAGTTTGTGTTTGCACGCCGCAGGTCGATTAGGCGCAATTGTTGGTCACGAGTCCTTCCATACCGACAATGGTGCGTGGAACTGGCAGTTTTGGAGCTCCGTCATCGTATCTCAAGACCTTGTTGCGCAATCAGAACACTGCAGATTGAGCTTGCCAGGTTCACATTGCTGGCAAGGCCAAGCTCCTGAGCAAGCCTGTCATTAATATCCTTGTGGAGACCTAAACTCGCCATTCATGCTTTGTCCTTATACAGTGAGTTTTGCAAGACATGACACTTTGAAGTTTGAATACTGCAACCATTTGGACCTTGAGTCCCCAAGCTATCCCTACCTCGCCAGCCAGGAAGTGTTCGGACAGTCTCGTTGACCATTTGCCTCAACGATCTCAAAAATGTGCTGGTGGTCGAAACCCAACCCGGTACCCTTGCCAAAAGATAAAAACCCGACATGTTCCATCGTTCAAAGTTGCATTCATGTTCGGAGGGCCAGGCAGCTCGTAGAAGTCGAAACCAAGCGTTGTGAAGATCACTTCCTTAAGACATCTTAAGACCATGTTCTTCACTTTGCAGGGATGCTTTGCTGCCGAAGCCCTTCAAGCCTGATTTCGACGCTTACTTGAGCACACCCAAGGCAGGCCACAATGTTTCAGCGCATGAAGGTGCATAAGGCCACCCATTGCAAAGCTGACACGCAAATGTTTCCGCGCATGGAGGACATCTTCAATTCTAAAATCTAGAAGTGGGTGGCTGTACGACAACATATGTTTTGATATGTTTTGTGCTCAACAACTGCAAAGGCAAGGCCTTGGTAGACACTGGAAATGCTTCCAGCCTGCAACCAAAGTGCGTGGGACGTTTGCGCAAATGACCCGCAAGGTGCGCGTTTTGTCTATCAAGAAAGATCTCTTCAGGAGAGCATGCGCTTGGGGCTTAGACTATATTATGCCCACTGCTGGAGACACTCGAAAGGCTTGCCGAAACATCCGCTCAAGTTTCTTTGACTTGCAGAGGCTGCAATGTGAGACCCAAGGACCTGGACAAAGATTCCACCACTTTGGAAGCAGCCCTCAAGAGTCAGGCACGCAACAAACTTTTTGCGGTTCAGCTTTGAGCGGGCTAAATCCATGCTGATCAGTTTGTCAAATACGTTCAAAGCTCCGAAAATCAACCGCGCAGTTGATCCTCAGCAATGCACGTGGGTTTCGTTTGCGGCTCCCTGGGCTTCCGGACAGGTTCTAGCACCAAGTCTCGCCAAAAAGCGCTGGACATACAGCCCTGACCTTACGAGCTCACAGGACTCCAATGACAGCATGGAACTCAGAACTTTCTCCTCAGCCCGTCACGCGTCACCCTCCTTGATTAAGTAGGCGCCTACTAATTAAGTAAGGGAGAAGTTCACTCAGTCACTCCTACTGGGACGCTATGGACACAGGATAGCTCACGCTTCCCCAAGGAAGCGCCCGCACTAATGGTTTGGTTCCTACAAGTTTAGCGAAACTTAAATAAGTAAGCTTCCTGTTACTACAGGTGAAACGATTCCCAAGGAAGTTTCTAGTTTCACGTTTAGGGAAACCTAATACGTTCTGCGCCTTTGGAGTCCATAGCAAAACGTGTTGCACTTATAGGGCAAACCGGCAAACCTGATTTTTTCTACCTTTAGGCAGTGATAACCTTCAAAGACGCTTCCCAACAGGGCGTAGGTGTGAAATTTTGCGATTCTGGAGGGATTTGCCACGAAGAACCGAATCTGAGCAGTGACTTCAGGCAGATCCGAACCCCGAAGAAAGAAACGGACATGCCGTTTATTTGCAGGTTCCTTATAACTTCAGGCAGAATCAAACGAACATGTGGGTCACCGACCAAACCCCGAAGAAAAGTTCACGTTCATGAGTTCGGAGTTGATCTATTTGCGTCAAAATCAGAAGTTTGTAGCCATAGATTGATTCATGGTTTTGAGCACATTCCGGCGTTGCTTTAGCTGCGGTGAATTATAGCATGCTGAAGAACCAGGGGCACGACAATTATAATTCGGTCATCCAAGATATTTTGGAAGATATTCGAGGAATATGTCAAATAGAAATTGCATGTTTGGGAGTTTAGGCAAGGTTTCAAACAGAAGATAATACATGTTGCAAGACGGCCTTTTTTGATGTGTTTGCATTCTGACCTCCAATATCTTCTGTTCGAATGGTCTTGTAGATCTGAGGCCAGCGATGCAGAGTTCCATGGCATTTACAGTGAATTCTTTAAGGTTGGCTCCAGGTCTTGCCAGTAGGGGCCATGCCGGCCAGTTTGGAAAGATGTTGGCTTCTGGGCAAGTCCTTAAGTGCAAAGGCTTTCCAACTAGGAGTGTGCGCTGTGAACCACCAGCGAGCCCGGCGAGTTGGCCAGAAGTTCTCAAGGTGCATGATTTGCTCGGTGGTGATCAGGCCCATCTTGGTGCAAAAGCTCTGCAGGGCTTCTCTCACTTCCCGGCAGCGGGAGGCACCAGGGACACACTCGAGGACAATGCCGCTGATTTGCCAGCACCAGCAGGCTTTGAGCAGCTTAATAAGGACCAAGGCACGGTCATCACTAAACCCCCTACCGTCGCCAAGAGATGAGTAGACAGGGGAAACCACGTTCAGCAATGGGGATGTGCCCTCGGAAACCTTGTGAACCGAACAGACAAGTGCAGTAAGTCCATTGCTTGAAAACCAGGACAGCTGGCAACCCACAGATGGCAAGGCACCCTCATCCAGCTGAATTTGCCTTCATGCAAGGGGTCCCTGTCACCTACGACTTTGAGCCGCCCTTGAAAGATCAGTTGTGCCTGATTGGACAGACCGCTTCGCCCTTTCAAGCGTCTTGGGCTTTCCTGCAACTGTGGGCCTCTGCACCAGCACAGGCTTACCTTGACATCGAAGCTTGCCTGTTTTTCCAGGGGCATGACCGACTTGCTGAACGTGATGAGTGCTGGACCTTTGATCCCAAATTGCGGCCTTTTGGAGCCTGTGAGCTGATGCACAGTGAGCCACCAATTCACTTCACTGCTGATGCGAGTGCGGTTGTTGGGGACTTCATCGAGGCACAGAGCAAGTTGCGCAAAGGCCCTGTTCGCCTTGGTAGAGAATGTGCCTCTGACACCCTGCTTTTGGCGGGAGATTACGTTGGTTCTGTCCCTCTTGATGAGAAAGCTCATTCTGGCCTGGCTCCATTCCTTGCGCTGTTCAGTGGAAGGGGCAGGTCGTTGAAGTCACTTGTCAATCAGGCCCCTTTGTCTTTGAGATCATTGACCTGCTGGGGTTTGTGAAGAGGTTGCCGTCTTTTGGCCAGGAATGGACCTCCGTTTTGCCGTGGACACCGTCATCACCTCTTCATCGTCTTTTGAGGTTGCTACTTTGCAGCGTTGGGACGCTTTCTTCGCAGGCACTGCACTTCTTGCTTCGTCGCCCGGACATTCAGTGGTCGCATGCTGAACGCCGAGATGACGCAACGGTCTTGCCTGGCTTCGATTCTGGATTGGATGATGTCACCATGCACTATGCGGCCAGGGCACTGATTGAGTTTTCAGGCGTCACTGACCTGCACTATGTTGCGCCCGAGTTGCTTCCTCGTGGCTTGATACGCCGACTGATGAAGAACAAGACTTGATTGGAAATGAAATCGCCAGCTTTGATGGCACCAGAATCACTGCCCTGACTGAGAGGCGTGGCCGCCGGTCTCTTCTGGACTACGCCATGTTTGAGGCTGGAGCTGAGGCCGCCTGTGTTGATGGCATTGAAAACAAAACAGGCTTGAGGCTGATGGGTCAGATTGGTACATTCATTCCTTCCCACTTCGAATTTAGTCCTCTCCATCCCACCTCGTGTGTGGCTATCACGCTCCTGCACCTTGGGTGGCTCTTGGGGCTTTGGCCCAACTTCTCGCAAAGTGAGGTTGATGCTTGGTATGGCCCGCTATGCTGGGGAGTTCCCAGTGCTTCATTCCGAGGCAGTGGTGGCACGGTAATGATGCCTTGGTTCAATGGCTCACTCCATTCTTGAAGGAGAAGGGTGCCCCTGTGAATGCAGCCAAGGAGCGCATCCATGAAGCTATGGAAAGGACAAAATTGAGGCTGCTTTCAAGAGCAAGAACCCTTGGGCATCCCTGAAGAGCCTGGGGAGTGGCAATCCATAGACCCTTCCTTTGGGTACGCTATGATGAATTGCGCCAACACATTGACGCCAAAGGCAGAGAGCGCCTCCGTTGGCATTCCCAAGAAGAAAGGTTAATAAGGGCAAAGATTCACGTTCGGAGGTTGTAACGGTCTGCATACTGTTCCTCAGATCTGTCTTGAATCAAGTCAAGTCAGGAGCCATCGGTGTCGCCTTCTGTCGTCATGATGCGGCCCTGCCAGTTCTGGCTGATCGCAAAGCACTGAGCCCTGGCGCGCTTGCATTGTTGGTTATTGGAGGAGGTGACACCCTGCTGATCGCGCAAGCCCGATTACGCTGCCAGCTCACTACGTTGGTTCTATTGACCCATCTTGGTTCATTCACTGCCGTCTTCTGCAGCTTGGTGATGTCAAGGTTGAGGAGGTTGGGCCCGGCCCCTGAGGTTGGCGCTCTGCCCACCAAGGTCGTGCGCACTCAGGTCTTTAAAGATGAGTTCCAGGGAGAGTGGCGGGACTCCACCAAGCGTCCGATTCCGGTGCGTGGTTGACACAGTTGAGCCTCTTCAACACTGCCGTGATGCCAGCTGTGGAGGCAGGCGTGGTAAGTACCATGTTCATTGAATCGGTAGTTGTTGACCGATGGGGCTGGCGCTGGGCCTCTCTTGATGGCCGCAAAAGCGATCCTGATCGGGCTGAGGTCTTCAGTGTGTTCATGCGACCACCAGAATCTTGATTTTCTGGATTCTGGACTTCTCAACCAGGTGGTCATGGAGTCTACTTTGAAACTCGGTTAGTTTTCGGTCATCTGGCTCGGTGGACAAGACTGCTAGTCAGGCCCAGCATCTTGTGAAGACTGATGAGCAGATCACTTCCATTGCACGCCTTGGCTCCAGGTATGGCGTTCAGGTTGTTGAGAAATAAATACTCCGAGGAGGTGCACAATCGCACTGCCCCCACCAAGCCATTCATGCCATCTTGGTCTTCAAGGTTGCGCCTTTGCCGCAGGGATCTCATCGACAGGGCCTGCATGATGCCTTTAAGCGACACGGCTGGGAAACTAAGCCATTGCACCCAGTGCTCTTGGCAAGGCTTGGGAATCTGGGGCACGCCTCCGTCGGTTCTTCGGCTGTCTGGTGGCTTTGTGACTAGACTAGCACTCTCATTCGATCTTCTGATCAACCAAGTGCTGTTCCAGAGGTTGTTGCAGTTGTTGCAAACACTCGCACCATACAGCACATTCGTGAAGATGCCACCTCTTCGACCCAGCCGTGGAGCTCTGACCTTTCTATAAGAGTGGTGACCCTTGACCCTGCTGGAAACGTTCCGCTGAGGCCACTGGTGCAGTTTCTGCTGCATCAACTGAACCAACATCCAAGGGCTTGCGCGTTCAAAGGATGATGAAATGGATAGATATGTTGACGCTCGTTTCAACCAGATGGAGAATGACATCATTGAGATCCAGGAACAGGGCAAACGCTTCGAAGCCTGGATGCAACAAGCTGATGTTCGTGCCGCCAGCCCGTCTGCGCAATTTGGCAGAGTTGAAGGTCAATGACTTTTGACTAGACTCATGAGCTCACGAAGCAAGCGTCATCGTGACTTTTGACTAGGGCATCAGGGCCCTCCCTTTGGCCGCGGAAGGTGGCCCTGCAAAATCGGGCGCCCTCTCTGGCGGTTAGTTTTAGCATGGACTTGCAATGTGAGAATTTGTGAAGCATCTCATCCCGGACCCACGCAGGGTAAGACAGATGGACCGAACTCTCCTCTCTTGCCGTGTTCTTCTACCTTTGCACGGCCCCTTCTAGAAACCGTGTCCCTGAAGAGCGGACTGCTTCGGATTCACCCCTCTTGCCGAGCACCTCTACTTCAGCGCATGGAAATGTTTGAGTGCTCGGCCGGGCGGTTCTTTTGTTAAATAAGTCACTTCTGCTTTTTTACAGGCAAATACCAACTGTAGGCCCTGGTGTTTTCTGTTTTTGCATTTCTACCTCGTCGGGCGTCATGGTAGTCGTCACGGTATATATGACAACTCGTGAGTATCACGGGGTCTGTCACGGTGCGAATGAAGAAGGCAAAGCTACCCGTGGCTCTTCGATCGCCAGAGGAGTCACTAATGATGAGGATCGCGAAGGGCCGGCGTCCGAACACGTTGAGAAAGCACGTCAAGACGTGGCAGTTAAAGTCGGTCAGTGGATGGAATCCACATTTGGGAGACGCTGGCCTTCTGCACCTTCGGAGTTCGCAGAGTACCTAGAGGCGATCGTGATGGAGCCGTGTGCCAAGTCCGCACCGGAGGCCGCCTACAAGACGGATGTTTCTGGAGTCCGCGCCGGATGTTTCTGGTGTTTGCCAGAGAAGTGGAGGAGTCTGAATTGCTTCATAGGTCCTCGGTGGTGAAGAATGCGTTGGAAGAGGCGCAGGTGAGGTTGGCTTCGGTGGAGATCAGGCCGTCGAGAAAAGCCCTGCTGCTTCCCTTGGCCGTTGTGGCGTCGATGGAGGACATGGTCGTGGACGACGACAGGACGCCTTTCTCGAGGGCCTACGCCTGGTATCGACTGGTCAAGATCTGGGCGGGGCTCAGGTTCGACGACGCAAAGGGAACGCCAAACAGGAGCATGGAGCTCAGAGACACTCACATGGTGGGCATCATCCACAAATCCATAACGTCGCGGCCTAAAAAAAGAAATGCTACTCCTCCCATTCTATGTCAGCGAGGAGGCTTGGATCAGCCGACACCACTGCCTGGCAGTGGATGGAAGATCTGGAACCATATGGGCATGGAAGCCGGCATGTTGACCCGCGACTTCATGCTGCCATGGCCAACGATGCGCAGGACGGGGTTTGCCAGGAGAATGGCAGACTACTCAACGGCCTCGGCGATGTCGCAGCGCTCTTTGGCGAACCGTGGGCCATGGATGAGGGTCAGAAGGTGACGCTGCTGTTCAGTGGAGTTGTGACACTGTGGACAGAGCATAGTGAGCGAGCGACACAGCGGCAGCAAGGATCCCTCCGGCTTTCCGACGCCAGGCGGAGGCCGCTGCCGATGAGGGATACGAGAGGATCACCAGAGCGACCATCCTGAGGAGCCAGAAGATCATTGGCACCTTCCTTCAGGATGAGTCAGCGGTCCTGGAAGCAGTCGGCATCAAGATGGGGCTGATGGGCTACCCAGACGAGGCAATGGAATGTCAGGCAAGCTGCTGGAGTCTTTTCATGCAGAAGAAGTGGCTGTGGAAGCAAGCTGGAGGCCGAAGTGGACGGCGACGGGCCCAGTGGTCTTGATTGAGCCCGACGACAATGAGGACTTGAAGGACCTCGCGAACGACACGGGCGATGGTGGCTTCGAGTCGGAAGAGGAGCTACAGCCCGCAGAAGAAGCGGAGGTGGTGGCCGCCGAGAAGATCGCGGGCACTGTACTGTCGATCGTGGGCCGCTCGCAAACGCGGACGTTGCACCGTGTTGGGGAAGTGTACATTACTCTCGTTTCGAGGTTCTGGGAGATGAACCTCCCGAGGCAAGCGCATATCATAGGGCTTGCAAGAACTGCTTGGCAAAGATGCAGCCTTGGCACAAGGATCTCCGGAGGAGGAAAGCGCCGGGGATGTGACATCGTCCGACTCAATGGAATCGGAAGTAGAAGCCTCGGCCTGAGAAGTATGCGCAGCTCACGCCGATCGGGACCAGACTGCACAGCCGGATGTGTGGCAGAAAGGAGGGGAGTCAGGAAGGTTCGGTTTGGGGGGCCAAAGTTGAAACTCGACGTCGGTCCTCGTGACTTCGATGTCGAGGTTCGTGCACGCTTGCTTACAAGAGGAGTGATTGAATCATACCCTAGCAGGGGAAAAGTCGCGCCGGGAGCCCCAGAATCAGCCAGCCGATGACATGACGAATGAAAGATTCGAGGATTCTGACGAGGCAAATCGGCTGGAAGCTTCCCTTCAAGGTCTTGGGGCGCCTTCTGGAGAAAGCTGGGTAGGTGGACGCGGAGCTGAAGCTGCACAAGATGTCCAAGGAGGCCAAGCTGGCGCAGCTTGCGGCGAGCTCTGGCGGCCGGAGCAAGAAAGGTGAACTGCGTTGGAAAGATCCTTGGTGAGGACTGTGGGTGTTTCAAAGGTTGTGAACGATTTTAACGAATCCACCGTAGTTTGTATGGCATGTTTCAAGGTAGAAGGATGAAGGTAGCGCAGACCTCATCTTTAGCTAAAGTAGGGGGCCGGAAGATCAGATGAGGTGAGGTATGCAAACCCCTCTTAATAGAATAAGGGGGGTGAGGGCATGCTTGACTGAAAGAGCAGTGGGTGGCGAAACACGGAAGGACTCTGCGCAACCCCTTCTGAAAAGGCGCTTTCGTGTGAGCTGAGTGACGACAACTCGTGAGTATCAAGGGGCCTGTCACGGTGCGACTACGTAGTGTCGCCTTCCTCTTCGCCATGGCCGGCCAGCAGTTGGGCTTCAGCGGGTCAGGAGACGTGGCCGCAGCCCTCGCGGACTCACGGCGGACGTGGCGGGCCTCCACGGCCTGGCCGCATACTTCGAGGAACGCGGTCCGGAAGACGCCGGCGCGGCCCGAGCACCCCCCTTTTGCTCTTCCCACCACCGTCCCCATTGCACCACCAAACTTTCAAAAGGGGGCCGGAAGATCAGATGAGGTGAGGTATGCAAACCCCTCTTAATGGAATAAGGGGGGTGAGGGCATGCTTGGCGGTCCCGGATGCCATCCACTGGGTGGCGAAACACGGAAGGACTCTGCGCAACCCCTTCTGAAAAGGCGCTTTCGTGTGAGCTCTGTTATATATATATATAAATCACGAAAGGTAGCTTGAGCTACCTGAGTTCTCCTTGCTTTAGCAAAAATGTATTACAATCAGGAGTTGGGATTGTGCATTGAGTTTGGTCCTGTAAGAGTTGATTCTGTTCGTCGGGGGGGCGGGGCCCCCCCCCTGGATCAAATCCCCCCTCCGCCGGTTCACGCCGTCATGGACTTTTACCAGGGTTGCTTGTGATTGCCTGCTACCTTTCGTTCACCCCCTCCTCTCTCAAGTACGCACCGCCGGCTGTTTTTCTCCATATGTCATCCTTTGCTCTATTTTTTTACCCTTGCCATGCTTCATGTAAACCAGCTGGGGTCTGGCCGTGCCTTGCTGAGGCGGCCGTGAAGCTGTTGAGGTGGCGAAATTGTGCTCTTATTTTGTTGTTACATGTTGTTACTGTCACAAGTTACTTGCAAACTTCAGGCGTGATCCTGCATTCACTATGTCACGTCTGATGGACAAACACCTAATCTCCAATTGCAGGATCAATCAGGTTCACCGCATATGTCGCCCCACATGTCACCAACGCAGTCCGTGAAATCCAGAAGGCGCACCCTCTAGCACGTTGCTCACCTTGTGTTGTCACTCTTTGGCATTTTCCAAGCCAGAAATCCAGCGTTCCAAAACCAAAGAAAGTTTGATTTGGAAAGTTGCATGTGTTTCAAAACGCGGGTCACGCACAAAGCTTGCAAAGGTTCTCTCACCCAATTATTGGAGCCTCGCACCCTCGCAAGGCCATCTCAAGCAATCAGTGATATTCTTGGGCGACCGACTGCTTTGTGAAGGACTGCATTTCAATATCGGTAAGCTCAGAAAGAAATGAGAGCTGAGTCCAAACCAAAAAGAAATGAACAATTTGTCATATCACTTCGGATGTGCCCCTTGTGAAATAGCATCAAAGAGCTCAACCCACGTGATGTGGTTGTGGTTGGACCAAAGGGAGGGTTAGCATTTCTCGTTGTCCTTTGCTAGGAGGCAAGTACCTTGAGAAATCAAAGTACTGAGAGGATCTGTGAGGGCCTTTCAAACTGTTTTAGTACGTAAGGCCTGCTTGACACCAGTAGTTTTGGCAGAATCACTTGCCTGCTGTGGTATTTGCACAAGAGTTTGCAAGCTGCATGATTCGTGTCAAGCAAGCCTGTTGCTGTATGGTTGGTTTCAAAAAAACATTGAAAAGGCGCTGACTGTGCACTCAGTAATTCCCTGTGGTCTTAGCAGCAGTCTACAAGATCACAGCTACACTACAGCAATCTTCTAGATTTCTGTAGCTTCACAGTTGGGATCAAGATAAAGCACACGAAATAGCAGAAGCGTTTACAGTAAGATGTTCGGATTGCTGGCCATTGTTGCAACATTGAAAACTAGCCCGCAGGAGTTTTGCGTAACGGTGTTCCATGACAGTAAGCAACACGGATGGTGATACAATGTTATACATTTCTTGTGCATGTTGAAATCAATGTGTTGAGCTGTGATGGGGAACGCGCGATGCCCAGGGAGCACTCACAAGTTGAAGACAAGAGCATCAAAGTGATGGCGTGTCACATGCCCATGAAATTGACAAGTGGTCGTTTTCGGCTTCCAGGTTGTGTCAGGCTGCTGGCCTGGCAGTGAGACGCGTGAAGATTGCGAAGCAGATGAAGGTGTCCAGCCGTCATGAGTGTTGAACTGGAGCTTTGCGTTTTTGTTGTCCGCACCCTCTCAAGGTCATATAAAAGACACTGATGGTGGATAAGATTTTGCAGTGTTTGTTGCATCCATATGTGTTAAAGACTCGAGTTTGAGGGTCATTACGTCATTGTATATTTTTCCTGAACGTGACTAAGAACATTATTTTGTGCATCCAGTTGCGTTCGCCTAATAGAAAGAAACTTGTGAAGGCGGCACCAACAAAGTGGAGCTGGCTGCATCGTTGCCTCTCGGCCTAGAATCAGACTCCCTCATAGCTGCAGCTTGGGCAGCCTTGGTTTGTTTTCTCTCGAAGCGCAGAGAAGAAACAATCCTGTTCCTTCACCACAGCATGTCAGGGCGACAGACTTTTGACCTCTCTTTCCCCATGGTTATAACCTCACTTGCCACCGGATTCAGAATGGAACCAAAGCAAAGCTTTATCTTCCAGAGAAGCAGCTTGCACTTGTGCAAACATGTCAAAACACATTTTCATATATTTCCCTATATCCCAGTCCTTGTCCAATGCACTTTTTCAGCATGCTTGGACCAAGCCTTGCCACAGACTTGGCGCGTCAGCACAAGTAAACATGTTTGGATTGGAGGCATATGTTTGGATGCCAACAGTCGGTTCTAAGCAGTTTAGACAAAATGGCAACATTACTTTTGTGATGTGATGTATTAAAAGCAATTATGAAGCAGCATGCAAGAGAATTCAGAATCCCCCAAAACACCAGCTTGGCGCTAGCATGGCATTTGTGGTGTGCTAGGTTTTTTCCTCCAGCTATCGGCATTTATTGGGGTTCTTGCTTCAAGCATAGGAAGAGGTGCCTGTGTGCAGGGGATTGGGTGTCTCGGCCCGTGTGCGCTTTGGAGCTTGGCATTGGGCGCTGGTGCTGCTACAGGGTGCCGCGGCAGCCGCTGCCGCATGTGTATGGCCGTGTGCCCGTTGAAACCTGTGCGCTTGTGCCTTGCAGGGTGCAGCTCTAGGGTGCCTCGCCTATGCCACACACGACTTGCGGTCCCGCTGTCCGCCCCTCGAAGCCCTTCCACTATGTGGGGTGCTAGAGGGTGTTGCTATTGCACAGAACAAATTGTGAAAAGAAAACATGCAACCCCATCTCACGGAACCGATCTAAGACACAGCATCCGAGAGAGAAAATCGAATTAACGGCGGCGAATAACTCAATCCGGTGCCAATTCATCAAGCGGTTTCTTCAATCGGATATATTTCTTAACCTTTTGGTACAAGTTGTACCGTGTTCGAAATGGTATCTCCGCGGGGAGATTCGAGAAAGTTTCGGCAAAATCAGTACAAATCGGCAAAGGAAAACGATCATCTCGAGGATAGGGCTGTTCAGGAAGGGCTGCATAGTCCGTCATATGTTTTACAGCTTGTTCAGCATAAGGCAGTGACGGACGGGCAGCGATGCCGCCAACAAGTGTCCGATGAAACCCAAGACGAACCAGTGAGGACGCACAGGTTTTCTTATATCGAGGAAACAGCTGACATTGCATGGTTCCTTCAAGATAACGGACGATGCCTCGCAGAGTAGATGCCTGATAACACAACCCATGAGCCGATTTAGGTTGAAGCAATGCTTCAGGAGAGTCAAAAGCATATGGTTCGAGAATTTTGGAATGGGAGTTAGCGATCCATAAGGGAAGTCCCTGCCCGGAAAAAAGCATGAAATGAACAGCAAGCTCAACCCACGTGATTCCAAAGTCTCCGGGGATGTTAGGATGGTCAGGATGCCGCCAACGGAGCCTCTGGAAAAAGGCCCAGACTTTGTAGGCTATGCGAGTCTCTGCCAAACATGCCAGGGCAACAACACGTGTCACGTCCCCTTCAAAGCACCAATGTGGTGATGGCACAGACCAGGTTGACAAGACTTGCCGGTAAGAATGGAAGGCATCAACATCATTATGGGCATGGCTTTCAGCTTCACAGTCAGGTCCAGGATCACGGATGGCAATATGCGCAGTGTTGAGGTCGCGAAGATAAGCATAAATCTTGCCTAAGAAATCCCGTTGGCAATGGCTATGGTCATAAATCTGATCGACCGCTTCTTGCATGGGTGGAAGGTCTTGCTTATTCAGAAGTTTTGCAGTTTCATCTGCGAGCTCATTACCAAGGATTGAATAGAGATCTTGGAGGGAGGAAGCCTCAGAACGATCTCGATGGGATTTTACCTTATGTATCTGGAAAAGACAAGGATCCCATGTTTGTTTAATGCTCCGTACCAAGTCAAAGTGTGCAAGCTGGTGCCTTGCCTATGCCAAATACAAAGGCAAAAGGCGGTTGGTTTTGAGGGTCTATGCTGGCGAAATCTTTGGGACTGCGCCTTTGATGAACAAGCTGTGATTTACATAGGGCCAGTAGGGTAGGGTGTACAAGCATTTTTCGCGCTAGGCTCGCGCTAGCTCCGCGCTTGCAGGAATTGCGGCAACGTGCGGCCAGCACTCCACAACGTAGGTCTTGGAAAGCACCATGAGCGCAAAAGCTTGAAGGATGCAGGACGAGATGCATACTACCGCGTTCATGGAAGACAGCCCAGCTGAGGTTCAAAAGCGCGCTCTAGCTTATTGCTGGGAAACGAGCAAGTCCTTACAAATTATATAAACGGCATAGGCCCCAGATAGCGGGTGTATAGGGAAAAAGCTCACAGTGCCTGAGGGGAAAAATGTCTAATAGCTTTCGCATGCTTTCGTTGCCAATGAGCGGTGCCAAGGGCATTATTCACCTTCCAAGTGTTTGCCTTGCAGAAACCGTTGTCAGCCCACACAAGGCGCCGATCCAGCAACAGCAGCAGCAGCCCCCGCACCAGCACCAGCACCCAGCACCCGCACCACCACGCCCCAAGCAAACGCCGATCCAGCACCAGCACCCGCGCCAGCACCTGCAGCGCCCGCACCAGCACCTGCACCAGCACGCCCAAACAAAACGCCGATCTAGCACCAGCACCCGTGGCAGTAACCAGCAGAAGCACCAGCTTTGCAAGTTGAACGTTGTGTCCCGATGTTGGACATTGTTGTTTTTGTTGGTTCGCATTGCGTCCTATTCGCATTGCGTCCTACATTGATTGCTTTTTTTGTTCTGTTAACCTCCTCCGGCTATGTCCCATGTCCAGTCCTCTTTTCACGCGTTTTTCCTTGCTAAACTGGTGCAGTCTTAGATGTCACGAATTCAAACGAACTTATATAACTTGGACAAGGACTGGCAAGAAGGTGGGCGCTTTTTTCACATCTTGAACTGGCATTTCAGGCTTTTCACAATCCCTGGCCTAGCTTCGGCGTACCATACTTCTGTGCAAATCTTAAGTCTTGCAGATTCTTGCAGCTTTGCAGAGAGAATCGACCGACAAGTCAACATGAGTTCAGCGGGTGATTTCGAAGCTCAGGTGGTTGTTAACGGCGAAGAGTTCTTCTTCTCGGACAGTTGTTTGGATGCATTTCTAATCATTTCTATTTTATAGACGATACATTTATACCCAACGCGCATATGCAGCTAGGTCACTTGTGTATATACTTAATTATATATATATATGTGTGTGTGTAATTATGTGTATAAATACCCGGTATGACATGATGCTGGTGTTCAAGCGCGTGGCTGCTTCAAATCCAAAGGCATTGTGGATGGTTGCTTTTGCCAAGGTGGGATTTTCTCTAACATGACTCTCACGAGCTTCTTGGCTGATACTCCAGGAGGTACATAGATGAAGATTCCATAGAAGGTCAGGGAGGGAAATCCAAGCATGGAAGCAGAAGCAGATAGCTGAAGTGGGTGGCGGCAGATCAAAGATCAACTGTTGCGATTGACTTCATTCTTCTGGACTTGGCACGCTCGGAGCATGCGTTCCTTCATTTTTTGTTCTGGTTGACCAGCAACTGGTACAACATTGGGTTGCATTTTTAGTTCACAGCTGCTGCCAATACGTTGACAATTGTCCAAGCAAATCTCACAGAATCGAGAAATTAGGCTGTGTTGGCTGTACTCTAAACCTGCGGATTGTTCCGCCGGCCTTTTTTGGCTGAACCTTGTAGACTTGCTTTGTCAAGCATGGTCAAGCTAGCACAAAAGCAACACAAGCGGCAGATCTGTTTGGTCAGGCCAGCGACAGATCAGCAGCAAAAAGTCACATTGAAACCGACACATCTTGCAACCTATCCAAAGATCAGAAAGCAAAGTATGCGGAAGCTCTGAGCAGGCACCGCTACCACTAATTGACACGGAAGTGCAAGCAGTGGAGTCCCTTGGAAAGGCACGGTCTCAGAAGGTCCCGAGGGGACGACGCAAATGCAAGTAAACAGGTGCGAAAGTGCGTGCGAAACTGTTTTTCTTGACTTTGAGCCAAAGGCGTCAGTCATGCACATAGAATGTGAGACCTGACAGGGGCTGAGTAGGAAGCAAAGCCATTGACGAGAATGAAGCGTAAGCAAGACACAGACAAAAGTCAGAAGCAAAACAAGACACACATACAAGCCACTTACCTGGATAAAACACGCTGGCGCCGCCGCAAGCGACTGGGGCCAGCGGATTTTGACCAGCTTGTTCAGCCCAGGTCACCAGAGCCAACCTTCAGAGAAGGCCTTTGTTGATGCAAACTTCCATCCGGCTGAACTAGGATCACAAGATGTCACAAGCAAGCCTGCAGCTATACGATTTGATCTTGCATGTGGAATCAGCGGTTGTTTTGTGTTATATGTGTTAGTGATGTTGTCATTTGCTATTGCACGATCAGATGAATGTGCTCGTGGAGCATTGTCACCCCTGCCCGTCCAGTTTCAGCTGGGTTTCTCGAAGTGGACTGGCCAACAGTTGCTAAGAGTTTTGCACGATCATTTCAGGCCCGGGCACCTGGGAAGAGGGCTGGAGTCAAAAGAAAGAGAAGAGACAATATATTTACTAAAGAAAGAGAAGCTGTCCAAGTGCGGACCTGAACAGCAAGCGCCACCAGCAACCCCACAGGTTCTCGATGCAGCCGGAGATCAGTCTCGCAAGCATACAACTTGCACACTGCACCACGTAGTAGTCTGATCAGCTCTTGGTTTCATAATGGGGGCGAAAACGGAGCACATGTCAAAATTCATAACTATATTATCACTAAAATGGCCGGGTTTTTTTGACAAGGCCTGGCACCTATGATTTGATCAAGAAGAATTGCAACAGCTTCAGCGCAGGGGCCCAAGGATGCTCCATATTGTGCATTTTGAGTTCAGGAAGGGGATGGGCGAAGAATTTGACCGATGCAATTGAACGACTTCGTTGTGGATCAAAAAGTGCTTTTTGCATGCCTTGGGGCCTGAACGCGAAACTTCAAGGATTGCGCCATCTATTTTCTTCTTGGGAAGCGTCGAGATCTCAAAGCTTTTGCGGAGCTGAGAATGTATGATGCAGTATGTGCATAGAAAAAGCCAAGGCTTACCCTCCAAATACTCAGCGCTGGAATCCATGGGACAGCGAGCAAGCCGCTTGTTCATGCGAAGGCGCAAACAAGGAACAGGCGCATGTGCAAGGAAACTAGTTTTGACTTTTTTGTATTTGTGTGTTCCCAATTTGCTTTCTCAAGTCTGGAGCTACAGTGGAGAAAGATCGGGAGAGAGAGAGAGTGTGGAGGGAGAAAGAGAAGGAATGAAAGAGATGTATTGAAATTATACACAACCAAAGTCATTCTTGCATGCTCGTTTGCAAAGGTTTAGAACTTCTTCAGCATTTCACCAATGGTGCCTACCAGCCAAACCAGGCAGGGCCTGAATTGCTGAATGCACCCCGTGCTGCTTGGGCTTTCTCTTCAAGCTTCCCGCGGCGTTTGCTGTTTGGGTGCAGTCTCATTCTCACTTTTGGGGCTTGTACAGAAGTTGTTTTCCATGCCTTGACGGAGGCTGCACTTAACTTTAGCGTGGAATCTGTGCTTCAGCAACTGAACAGGCATGGAGGGAAAGGTTACATGCAGACATCGAAGATTGGAATGGACATTGCACATAGGATTGCAAGGGAAATGAGGATAGGATTGCAGATAGGTTTCCCGACTGCGGTGGCAGTTCTAGGCTGGATAAGAGCACCATCTCTTCCAGCTCTACAGTTGGCTCCGGCAAGTTTGGGTCCAAACAAGCCAAACGCCGTTGAAACCAGATGCAGATGCATGCAGCTGCCTAGGCACCAGAATATCAACAGGTGCATTCCTTCACACATCTCTCCATTTAGACATAAAATCTTCATAAATGCTACTTGATGTATACATTGTCCAAGCGATGTTCTGAGACACCATAGTGAATCACAACCACAATTTTCCGCTGGCCTCTTTTTCAAACTGAGGCAGGCTCTCAGAAGTGGCGCCATGGTGACAGCCAAGAACCCAGCATTTGCAAACAGGCGAAGATCTAAAACGTGTTGAATGGCAGTACACATAGAAACGAACTACAAGTCAAGCGTGTAGGAGTGTCTCCATTCTTTGCGTGGTTCGGGTTGAAGACCCACGCTGATCAATGTGGTACTTTATGATACTTATTTGTTTTGGAAAATTTGGGTGTCTCCCAAGCGTGAAGCAGTGAAGGCACTGAAATAAATGATAAATGTATATTGCCTCCACCATGAGGAAACACTCCATCGACCATTTGTTTGAAACGGATTTGCCATTTGGGAGCGCATATCGTGCGCAGGGATCAAGAACAGATTGCTTTGTTTGCCAACTTGGCACAAGGTTTGTGGGCTGAAAAACGCAGAGCACTTGAACGGTCAGACAGCAAGGACTGCTAGCTTTGAAATGTCAACGACACACAAATGAATGTCAGTATATAAACGCTGTGTATGTGTGCCTTTCACATTGGTCTCCATTTGGTGGCTTGGAGACTTGGACACCATTATATTGTATGCTGTTGTGAAATGACCGCTTTGGATGCACTATCACCCGGCCCCCTATTACACCGATTTACACTGTACATTCAAGGTGGATGGGCTAAGGCCTGAAGGCATTTCGTGATACATGTTCTGGAAACCGGCTGCCCTGCGCCGAAACTTTATTCTGACTCAGCAAGTTTGCAAAGCATGCAAAGCCTTACACAACGCTTTCGCAATGCTCGTTGCTGGAAGCGAGTGGCAGCAGGAAGACTTGGGAAGTAAAATTGTGGCAAGCAGCCATTTGCGGTTTGTCACATGTACATATTCGTCAATATATATATATA